GACACACACACACACACACACACACACATATATATATATATATGTAAAAATAGCATATATACATATATATATACATATATATATATATATATATATATGTATATATGTAAATTTTTCTTGTTATGGGCACACGTTTATAGGACGAGATAACGATATTAACCTTTCCATAAACCGCATGCATGATTAATATATTCTCTAATATTGCCTTGGAATGTAGTTCCTATTCTTTAATTGTATTTAATAATATATACCGTGCTCCTTCATCGTCGCTGCGGAAGCTATCGTGAGTAAATATTTGTGGGTTGGTTTGCCACTCCTCATGAACTTTTGCATTGTGTTGCCAAATTTGTAAGTGATTTTGTATATTGACTGATCTGAAGTATGTTTGTAGTTGCCGGCCGCCCGACATGTATAGATATAGAGATATGTCAGCGTGTCTCTTTCGGACAGTGTCTCGTCGCGAGTCAGCTTGAACTCACTTTTGACATTCAAAGACAGTGTCTCACTGTATATAACAATTCACGGACACTACCATCGTGTGCAATCATGCACATTTTCTGCATCTTCGCTTTTTTTTATTCTACTTCGTATATTGATTGAGTGGAATTGAATCCTCTTTCTCAAGTGAAGTTGCACGTGATTCGGGTATGTATTTTGTGGGCTTTCTGAATGTATGTAGCGTATTTATACTGTTGGTATACTCAGATTGTCACTGGCAAACCGGTACACAGGTGAAACCTACAAAGAAGGATTCGCGGTGGGATACATAATCGCCCAGGTGGCACTCTTCTTCCTCTATATGCTGGTGGCAATGTAAGTAGACCTGCATTCATTAAAAGGGCTCTAGATGTTTTACTGTACCGGCCACGAGCTACTATCTTATATCCACTCCGCCATTTTAGCTTTTATCTACCTCAATCGCAAACTTTGCTCAAACATCTGAACGCTTAACTTTATACCAGACATATAAAAGTAGCGCGTACGAATTCCCTACTGGTGATGGGCTGCATGGCAGCCTCGATCGTCCTTTGGTATGAATTTCTGGTCCATAGATTTTTCGTTTTTTCTTGACAAATGATGTATAGTGCGGTATACTGCAAGTCGGATTTCTATTTTTATGTAGGTTATCGAAGAATTACCACTTTCAGCCTTCCAGATCGTCTCAATAGGAAGAGTGAGGAGATTTCTGGTCCTAACATGACTCAGTATCAATATTACATACTGTTGATTCCTCTCGGATTCGATCGCTCTTCGTTTTAAACGCTTTAATACGCTCAGGTGCCTAATTGGCAATAAAAAGGTTTCACCGTACCGACTCACAGGAAAGCCAACTTAGGTGTATCACAAACACACTTTGGACGCATCAGGCAAATGATACTGCCCCTTCCGACCTTTTCTTTTTTGGCCATATTTAGGTCAATTTCGTGCTTCTTAAACTCGTACAATGTTTCCTATATAATGTGGACCGTTGGGTTGTTGACTGTTCTCGTGGGGTATGCAGCACACAGTACCACAACGAGGAGGAAACACGAGGATGTGGGGTACATCACTGAGCGGTATGTGTCTGTAATTCCCCGCTGCTCATAATTGGCTGGTGTATTGTCATGCATTCTGGGCTGGTAGAGTCACATGTCAGGTTTTATGAGATCCTTAGTACATCGTGTGAAACTCGGGGACATGTCATATTATGTTATAATCCTGGGACCTTGTTGGTGGCTCATTACGCGCAGGTAGCCCCAAATGGGGCGAGTCCAGCTTTATTACATGTTTGATTTAGTATAGGTTACCTGGATGTATCAACATTCGAATGACTCGTGTTCATAATAGACCTTACCACACTCCTCACAGGTTGGGTCTGTTCGTGATGCTGGTGATGGGAGAGTCGATACTGGGCATCGTGCTGAACGCTCATCTTGGCGACACTTCGACGTATATGATTGCCGGGTTTGGGTTCTTCACAGTCTTTAACATCCATCTGTGCTATTTTGAGACCATACCAGCGGAAGGCATAGAAAATGCTCTGCACAGCAACGCCATACGCAGCCAGCTGGTGTACCTTGGCCATTTATTCGCTTGCTTCGGATTACTTTGTGTGGGGATGGGTATGAGAGATTTGTGTTTTTCTCTGTGACTTTTTCACATTCGGCCACCAGTTGCGTTGATCCTTAGGGTTGTCCATTTGTGATTAAATCCATAACAGTATCAAGAAAGCGATATCTGGTCTGCTTTCTTCGTCAAATAGTTAATTAAGTATTTCAAGCGATAGGTTTTTGCTCTATTGCCAATGTCCACCACGTATTCATCTACTCCAACAAAGTTTCGGCTGTTTTCTGAGAGCTGAGTTCAGAGATTTTTTGAAACTACATCCAGAATAGGTAGCCCTGTGCCGAGGGTTTTTGCATCCTCCAACTGGAAGCTTGCAATTTGTCGTCTCGACTACAATATCTCCCTTTGAATGAATTGCTAATTCGACTTTGGTGTTTTGATTTTATAACTTCAGCGATATATACTGTTTGCATCAGTTGGTTATATACAAAGACCTGCACATGTTCAACACAATATCCTACGTACATATGATCTATATAGATGAATGTTAGAACCAGTTGCAGTCTCTCTACATTTACGATGGGACGCTGTACCGCACATTGTTAAGTCTCTTAAATGACGGGTTTCTTGTAAAGCCAGATACATGAAACATCTTAATGCCGAGAGCCAAGTTTATCAGTTTCAGGTACACGATGCAGCTGACAATCGCGAAACAAAACACTCCCGGATTGGCAGCCTGTAAATGCATTCAAAGACTGCTCAGACATGAAGTGCTAATCTTTGCACATTACAACCAGTCAAACAAATTCCTCCTGAGAATGATTTCAATAGACGAGTGCGCTGTTGTTCTTCTCGACACATGCACTCACTCAGGTCATTTGACGGTTATTTGAACCCCACGCACAGGCTACAAGACAGCCATGAAGTACAACGAGACGACACAGTCTACCCGGAATCAATGGATCTTCTGCGGTGGGTTGGCGTTGGCGCTATTCGCAATGCAGATCATCCGCACAGCCAACCAGGACGGATTCCATGGGGAATACTACTTCGCCACCAAGTTCAGAGTATTCTTGCTATTAGTCAGGCTGACGGTACCTATTATAGTGGCCACGATGCCGCTCTGGGGGTTGGATACCGTTGGTGAGTCAATTGTTCTCGTTTACTACCATCACATCTTCAAGCGCTAATATAAAGTTTATATATATATGTGCATATACGTATATGGCATGTGCCTGGGGTCTTTCAAAACCATATCGTCGGCTGTGGAGACTACAATACCTTGTGGACATTCTCATTTTTGTTGAATTCTACAGGGTTGGTGCGTGCATCACGACAACCTATCTGTTTTTTTTCTGAGATGTTTTTGAAATTGACTCTCGAGTGAAATAGTAGGTTCGTTTGCCCGAGTGTCCGTTTGTATTATTTTAAGGCAATACTTTGTACACGGACTCATATATTCTATTCTCTCACACATCTAGATCTTATCTTGGCTATATTTGGGGCCACAAGTATATACGTAGCTCTCGACATCTACGGGCACTTCCGCTACGAGCGAGACCTGAACCTCGTACTACTCAACGAATCTTCTAACGCATACCTGGGACTAGAGGGCTTGGAATATCTGCAAGATCCCTTCCCCGATCTGTCTGACTTTGTTGGGTGGGATGTGGTGGAAGTGCGCCTGTGGATGAAGAATGATCTGGGGGCGGGTCTCGAGTCACTAGACAAGGTATGAGCATAATTGCGCAGATCTCCTATAGAGATTCTGCGTGTGTGCCGTGGGTTATCGATTCTGTTCAGAGACGACTAACATTTGGAGTGAGAGTGTAGATCTCCCTTACCGTTATGTAGTTGGATAATAGGCTGCATATTAGGCTGTATACTAGGCTGCGCACTCTACATGACTCGAGATTGGATCGAAACCATACGAACTAATCTGCGCAGTCAGTGGCTTTGAGTATATGATCTTTTCCATGACAAGTGTGATACAATGGATTATGCGTGTGGAGAAAAGAACGTGAATTACGCTGAAGCGCGAGTGATATTCAATTTTTACCTCTCCAAGCTGTGCCAAGGGTTTAAATGAGCGCTTATTTTCCAACCTACTTCGAGGTAGCAACATTATATCAAATACCACATTAAAATAGAATTTAATGGCGTTGTACAGCTTTCTGCTGCACTAGTATGTGTACACTTCATTCTAATTGTTAAATTTTGTTCGATTATTATTTGCACAGGCTGAAAAGTTCGACATCACGGCGGAGAAATTGTTTAGGGCCAGCGCGGCAGAAATAATCATTGTGTTTGGAGATAAAGATGGCGGAAGAATCGTCGTCGAATTAAGTCGGATAGCCAGTGGTAAGTATTGTTTCGATATGTTTGCCATAATATCGGTGCGTATGCGGCTTGTTGTCGGATGCCATTTGTATACTTATACACCTACGGGGACATGCGTAAACATGTACAGGCAAATTTGGAAGCGACCGTCTGTCCAGGGGTGTATTATGCATGTTATGGGATCGAATGTCGCCTCTCGGTCATCGATAGCGATTAAATGTATCAATGCAATAGCATGGGAATAGAAGGTCATATTCACATCCACAGTTATAATTCTGTTGTCCTAATAATCACACGTTGGGAGTACACAGGCACCATAGCCTAGAACTAGAATGCGTCAATGTCACACGAATTACTCTGAACATGTCTAACCAGCCTCGATAATTCACAGGGAATAAGATGACGGGCAACTTCGACTCCAATGTTGCGGAGGCATGATCCCGGACAAGGAAATATAACTTAGTAAATTTAATTAGTAAAGCATGAATTTGTAAGGAATACCAAGCTTTAGCGCATTCGATGAATATGACTACTGTTCGACACCACATCCGCCCGTGTCATCACGGATGATATACCATTTGAAAGCATCAAAGCACTTTGTTTGAGATTATACTCAGCAAGGATGCGCAGTAACGACAGAACGTTTTGTATGCCAAATATTCATGACCGAGCGAGAAGGAATTTTCTGGTTTTTATCGATATCGTATGTGAATTTTCATACTCAGCAACAATCCTATGTAAATATAACTTCTCATATTCTCAAAACGAAGCACATACCTAGATAGCGAAAAATGGCGAATGAAGCCGAAGTCAACCACCATTAAGAAAGATTCCAATACAATTTTCATCGACTTTTGCTCTGTAGTGTCGTTCGCATTTTCATACGTAAGTCGAAATAAGTCTTGCCTTGTCAAAGTGATATGCGCCTAACCTTATTTAGACCGACAGCATTACCACTATTCTCCAAAGTCCGTGCGTGCGAATTTTGTTGGACTATGACTACCAGTGCAATTTGGAAGTGTTTACAAGCTCGTTCCCATGGCCCTTTGTATCCCCTGTGCGCCCATCTATATATAGTCCCAGTAAGACTTCTGAAAACTGTTTGCGTTGGCTGACTACTGAACTTCAATGAAATCGTCTGTAGTTTAATGTACGCGAATTGGGATACTTGGCTAGCGATTCCTTTCGTATGTGCTAACGGAATCGAGATTGAACACATTCCCACGACTGCTGTTTTTGAATATATATATTCGGAACAGACAATAAACCATAAATTCTGCAACAAGGTAAATACAGAAATGTGACCGCTACTGTCACTTTGAAGTATTGGATACTGCGAGTTCACTCTCGCCATGTAGATATCAGAAACGGTCCCTTCGTTTTAAGCAGCGATACATTCGTTTCGGTGCATACTATTTTTATTTTAAACTTACAGCAGCAGCAGCATTGGTAGCACTCATAGACTGCCGGCGTAGAGATTATACCAGTGACAGCTTTAACTACGTACTGATACGTGCACTTGTTTATAGGTAAGCTTGCACTCTACGATAGACGTGTTACCAAGCGAATTAATTATCTGGTAGTTGCTATTGATATACCACCTATTTAATATTTCAAAACAAGCGTAGCATCCCCGACTCTAGAGTCAATTGCTGAGAAGACAGTGTTGCCCTTCGCACTTTTGCACGAACTCGTAGGCACAGCTCCGGGAACTCAAAAGGGGTCTAACTTGTCTAACAATAAATAAACTTCTCAGAGTCCACAAAACTTAATCTATACACGCTTCCGTGAACATGTCAGCGGACAAGATAATAAATCTTTATGCGTATCGACGATAAGCTCGTCGATACCAGAAGCTCGTCGTCAAATTAAGGCTGCATTTATTTTTGGCTGCGCTGTTCGCTTCGATATGAAGGATATTCTTTATCCGTCTACACACTTGGACTACGCCTCGTTGACTAATTCATTGAGTGGAAACTGGGCAGGACAAGTAAAGTCATCTTACATGGCGTCGTCCACGTATGAATACTTGCCTTTTTTTTAACTTTCTGAATGATGGATATATTCTTACGTGCATAGTCATCCAATAGGTAGTGATAAGGGGGAAACGAACAAGCTAGCGCATAAGATCGGATGATCCCGGTCTATGTACTGTGCATGTCAATGCCTTCTGTCGCTTCTCCTGCTGCATCATATTTGCCTTAATTTTCTGAAACCAACTGAGCGGTTGATCGACAGCGATGTCCTCGTCACAACCCTTTTCCGCCACACATTCTTCACCTGTCTCTATTGCACTTATCTTTGCATGCGTTGAAGTAGTCGGACTGCTTGCTTTCACTTGAGTTTCTACCGTATTTTTCCCACCTTCATTAGGGAAAGAGCTAGATTCTGGGTTCAGCATCTCGGGGTGCGCTTCTGAGTTCTGACTTTTCGATAGTTCCCCAAAATGAACAACGCACTTAAGTCTCTGTCATAACAGTGCGCACTTGTTTAATATTAGGGCAGCGCGTCGCGGTACCGCGCAGAACTACAATGTGTATATATGTAAATACTCTGAATTAACATGATTGTACCTTGTATTTTGGTGCTATCCAACAAGCAATTTCATTCGTCCAGTATAGCGTGAATCTTATGGTGGTCGATTTGAAGTCGCACAAACACATATGAGCATATTTTTGGCTTGGTGCAAACGATCGCCGTCCGCATAGCCCGTTTGAGGCTTTGAGCTATAGTAGTAGAGCTAGATAAAGCTTTGTAGCTATCAGCAAAGGTAAAGATAGACTGACGTCGGGCCGAAACATTAATTTCAATATTATTAGTTAAAAATATATAGTACAACCTCGACATTTTATTCATCAATCGGTCGTCTGCTTGTGTTATCGATATTGCGACGGAAGTCGCAAGGTGCTTCGCGAGTGCGAAGACTACCGTACCCAAGCAAGTACACACGCTGAATCATATACATGATGAAAGCGAGTACCGAACGTAGAGTTGTTTGTCTCGAATGAGACAACATCGATAGGAAATATAACACGAAAAGCTATAGCAATTCGTAGTGACAGACAGACTCTCCTTGGTCAGACCAACGGAGATATCGGTACTCGAGCATTTCGCACCAGGGGACACGCTATAAACAACGTTTTGTCAACCGTGGTATGCTCAAAAGTTCCGATTCAACTTGCTCGACCGATGGATATCAAAGGATAACAGGTCAAGTGATATATCACAAGTCTAATGTTGTACAATAGACCAGATGATAGACCTCAGATATATATATAGATATCAAAAGGAGATGATGTCTTCTGCGCACGGCCTGAAGGCAGCTCCCTAGCATTGTGCTACTGGGTGCAAACCAGCAGGACGCAAAGTCCCAGCGGCGCAAGACACGCTGCTTTCCCGGACATATTCAGCATGAAATCGAAAAGATCTCTCTGTCCTCGCTGGTTTGTATATTTGTGCAATCATTCCTTCGGATGTGAAGCACTTATGGCCGTGGATGCGGGCACTGAGTCAGCTGGGTGAGTGTCTCCGTACGCACTTGTTTCAAGAAAGGCATGATCGACGAACCTCCCGTACCGCGGTAACTTGCGATAGTAGAGCTCTTTTTGCTGGCCGGAATGACGATGTAAGTGGAGACCAACTGTAGAACACCATACAACATAAGGAAGATAAGCTGGGAAAGGATGGAAGAAAGCCCACTGCTGCGACGCAGCCCGTGACTTACGATGATATATAAGGAGAATAAACAGGGTGGCTATTTTCGTGCATTGCCTTGCATTGTAATGCGTTGCAATGCACTGCATGCATTATTATCAGTATTATATATATACACGTATAAATATATATATATATATATACACGTATATAAATATATATATATATACATATATATATATTAATGTTGCTTACACAATATTCGCGCACATGTTAAAATAGGCCTGAACATAGAAAGCTACATCGACTGACCTGTATATGTTTAGTGCGAAACTGCGACAAAGCAAGAACGGCGCGATCAAACGCAGCCCTAGCCTCGTCTGACCCGTGTGGCGACTTTACAAAATCATGCAGACTGGGCGCCTTTCCCAATGCGCTGAGAAAATGGCGATGCTTGCGAGGCATGTACGCACGCACAGTAGACATATAGGAGCACTCTGCGTCCACTGCAGGGGTGTGTCTGAGCTTTGCCAGATGTTCCTCATTCATATTGCCGTCGAGATCCGTATCGGTGTCTTCTGCATCGGCATCGGGCTCGCTCTCAGAGGCAGAGGGTGTATCCAGTACAGTTGCTTCCTGCATGGGACACACGTTTGTGGGGCTGTGGTGTATTCCCAATGCTATGTCGATGCTATAATTTTGTAAACATAAAAATCAATAAAATATGAGTCAGTTTGACGGTTGGAATCTCTACACCAAATCTTCTCGAATATCCTAACAAGTAATATACACGTCACGTATTGCTTTTGCACATAAATTAACGGTCAACTTACGCTTGTAGCAGAGAAGACTGACCGGCACTGCCACCGGCATACTCAAATGGAATGTCGCTCACACCTTCATATACGAGGCCATTGGGTAGCACTGGATTACCCCGCCACCCACCGAAGAAAGGCCGAATGTCTCTGTAATACACAGTAGCATCGCACTTCTCAAACATGCGAAGGATAATATTGGTCATGCTCTCTATAGAGTCCGCAAGCACGTGCATATGGGCAGCCACCTTTTCCGCGTCCAGTTCGTTGACAGCGTGCATGCCGTTAACGATCGCCTGCACTGTTGGACCACCCAGAGCCTCTATGGCTACAGTGACCAAGTAGAACCACGCCTCATCATTACAACCGTTGAATGTGTGATTCACAGCCAGATTAGTCAGATCCGCAGGGCCCTCAGAATCGATCAGGTGCCAGTTGTACATCACCACAGCCGAGTGGGTGAGTATAGGCTTTCCGCCAAGATGTGCCGAGACTGCCGCCCATGGCACGGCCAGGTTAGCTGGTAGTACTTTGCACGGCGATGTTTCTCCATCACACCAGACGTACGCATGTGATAGCATACACAGCACAGAGTAGGCTCGTTGAAACTCAGCTTCGGTTGTCAGTTGATCGGTACTCAACAGCGGAATGCGATCGAGTTGCTTGCGAGTGCAGCCTGCCAAAAGATAGGACGGAAGCTGCTTAACAGCGGCATCCCATGAGGCATAGTATGACGATAGATTTTGCAGCGGATCCTACATGAGCAAGAGTATGGTATATTGCGAAATTATAAGATTATTCTTTATTGACGCGGTGGACCAAGTAGCTGGCAGGCATGGTGTATTAACCCATGTGTGTGGACAGCGACAATTTCTTGATAACGAATAGTGAACTGAATCAACACAAGGCATGTGACGCGCATTCAAAGGCTGTAGACACTTGAAAGCAAAATATCAAGTAAGGTTCGAGATGCAAAAAATAATGCCATCAGTACATGCCTGGTCGGGAAGGAAACCTCTCCGCTTGGAGATGTCATAATCCTCTGGGATTGGAACAGATTTAATATGTACCATTTTGAAGCCTTACGAGTACTCGTCAGTTTCTAGCGCACTGATCAAAAGATACACAGAAGGTTTCTGTAGTTGACAAACAAAAGAAAGGATGATGAACTACAATGTTCTTATCAGAGGCCTTTTTGTGTGTACAAAACAAAGCTCGCACATTCTATTCAGTTCATGTACTCATCTCTCATGAGGAGAGAGAAACATTCACCGAGGCTAAAATGACTACGACTACATTTACATACATCAATATTTTAACAATCAGATGATGGAAACATACATGCACCGATCAGCGATTGGGACGGAAGGTATACGACAGCATTTTAATTAAATACCGTAGTTAATATCTCAAAAGTTAAATATGTTTAGACAATTTCTTAGATAAATTTCTTGGGGTTTAAAATAGAAACAGAATGAATATATACGACACGTCGTTAAATGTTTTCTACTTAATGCCCATGATACCGATTTGAGAAATTTATCCTCACCCCACAAATAATAGATAACCAGCCCAAAAGATCATGAAGCACACATAAAATGGAATTTCTAAATTGATGACCATATTTGAAGTCATAACTTTTCCCGCGCAATCGGGCTGTACTCCTATGAAGTCCTATCACTATGTATTTATGTATTTATGTGCGTATTGTGTGGCGGTCAGAGTCTCAGAGACTCCAGAGCCTGTGAGAGGCACAAGGCGATATTTACATATATTTAAACGAGCAGTCGGGCAGTCGGGCACACGATAGTTGATATTATTACTATTTTTTATTAAAAAAAAAAGTATATATATGTATATATAAACATGCTCAGTTCACATTCACACGACATCAAAACTGGAAAGAGATGTTAATGATGTCAAGTAATAGGCAGGTGTGCTTGCTTTCTGCCCTGACGTTATATAATCACATTATTCAGTATAGTAGTGTGAGTAGGATGGTCGAGTTGCATGTCTAGCAACAGCGAGCATGAATAGCTTCTGAACGATCTTGGAGCGTGCCTGCCATCACCTTATTGCTGTAGCATCAAGTTGCAACCTTAGCAAAAGGTGACCGCTACAACCCTGTGTCGGCGTGGATGACCTCTTTCTTCGTTTTGGTGTAATAAGGCAACAAAGTTTGATTTAATCTCTCTGTCTCTACTGTTGTATTTAGATGTCGCAACCATCATAGCGTAAATAGAGGAATAGCTGTTCTATGAAGCTTTATTTTGAATAAAGAATCGTATGCAACAATCGATGACTGTCTTGTCGTACATAACTTCAAATAATATTTTATTATCCTGTAACTGTGTATTGTTGGTGTTAATTTTTACTAATCCTGTAACTGCGTATTGTATGTGTTGTCTTTTAATATCATGTAACTGCGTATTGTACGTGTTGTCTTTTAATATCCTGTAACTGCTTATGTATGTGTTGAATCTTTTAATATCTTGTAACTGCGTACTGTATGTGATGAATTTTTTAATATCTTGTAACTGCGTATTGTTTGTTGTGTTCTCTTTTGTGGTCTTTTTATTTAGATTCCGTACTGTATCGTGAAGGTATAAGGTGTAGTCCTTCGGGGTTCACAATTCGAATCCTTACGTCTATTCACCTATAGTGATGTCAAGCAGAAACTGTCACACACACGGATTGCATTTTCCAGATCTAAGTCCTGTGAATTTTATAGGAGCAAGAACTATTCACTTTGCTGTAGTTTATGATGAGGGGCGTTGGATGAGATTATCGGTCAAACTTGATTGGCACCTTAAGCGGGCCTAAGATAGATACGCGGTGAAGTAAGAAGTGTAGTATTTGAGTACCCCAGTACCTACAACAGAGCAAGAGCAGTTGTACACATTGCTATTTATTTCTGTGGTCAGAGTATGACGAACTCGTGAGCTTATATACATTGGTCAATTCCGTAGTGCGTATATGTCATGGCTAGCGCAGAGATGAAATGTTTTTGCTCACATTGTATGACTCTTTCTAATTCTAAGCTAAGATAAAACCCAGGAACCCAGCGCAGCAAAGATGCCCCGATTCTTGTGTAGAGATTTTGCTCAAGAGGTGTGACGCAGTGTTTATGTTTTTCCAACTATCGTTGTAATTTATCGCTGTTAGTTGTATTAGCAGAAAATAGCAGACAATGTACTTTACTTGTATGTTGGCTATGTTGTATCGAATAGCATGAACGACGTTTGCGTGATACGTTATTCTCATTTATACATTTCAATATAATCATCCGCAGTCGGGAATAGTCGTCTCTCAAGGAACGCCCTGAATAGCTCATTTAACCACTCAATTTATAGATACATATAATTTAATGACTCCTAGCAGTGTGAAGAGTGGTAGTGTACATCGATACTTCACGAGGTAGAAGTTGCGATGTGACGACAGCATCCGAAGACGATGACATACTTGTTCTACGTAGATTTAAATAACAAACCATCGAACGTAAACTTAGGCCACAAATTCTGTAGTCACGAATTCATGTAAATATCAACAATGTGTTGTCTATTATCAGCTCCGTGACCGCAACGCTACAATAGCTCGTGGCCTTAAACTTTGGAGTTCTGATGGAAATGGATGGGAAGGATTTCCTCTTCTAGCACACACCTCCACGTTGAACAAGGAGATGAGCAACGGTATCACTGGTAAGCGTGCGCGGTCGATGCCAAGAATTTTGAGAAGAGACTTATGATATTTATAGAGAGAGAGCCCAGTGCCTTATAAATGTGCATTGCATTTTCTGTTCATCTCTGTAAATTTCCTCTAGTTGTCGATTGTAAAGCCATAGTTCACGATTCTACACGTTGCAACACCCAGCACGCTGACGTTTTGTTTAGCCTAGGATTCCACCGTTATAGACTACTCATAGCCTCATATACTCGCGGTAACAGAGGCGGAAGATCTAAGCGCTCTATTACAGACTATGCAGTCTGCTGTCAATGTTTATACCCAAATGCCGGCGATGTCGTTGCGCTGTTCAGAGGAAGAATATTCGGAGCCCTCGCCAGGTGGGCTACTACAAAACTGACTGAACTTTTCATTAGGCGACAGTCTCAATTTTATTAGTAAATACAGTTTGTGTTACCCTCGAGACACATATACATCCGCGGAAGAGTATGTGATATACCTGTCACGCTTTAAGCTTGATGGATATATTGTTTTCCTTTTTTGATGGGAACAGCTCTACCGTAGCAGGAATATATCTTCATCGTATTCTGATGTTGACGCGCCAGACACCTGCGTTTCCGATCAGAGGCCAATTCTCTCGCGCATCGGACGGCTCTTCACCATAAATGTGTATTTTGTATGCGTACATATACTTACAGAGCCAGAGGATGAGACGAAATTGGATACCGTGTCAGCTGTACATGACTGCGCGTTCTCATTCGAAATTCCTATTCTCAATGATATATGCCGGGAACATGGGCATATGCTAACCCAACTGCCGGAATCAATTAATGAAAGTCAAAGGTAGTATTTGTACATATGCTTAGCACTAGCATAGTAATTCTTGATTGCAAACCACTAGAGCTACACGCTAGACACTGATTTGTAGGTGTTTTAAATCCAGGAAAATCATATGCCTGTTGCGCATTTTATTGTGCTAGGAATACGTGGTTCCATAATACAACGTATCGCAGGCTGTGGTAGTTGAGATGACACTATGCATGTTCTTCCAACTCCCGAAGCTGCACCTGTCTATGCAGGGGGGAGGCCTCGAAGTGCGTGTATAAAGTTATGCTATGCGTCCGCTCAGCAGAGCTGAAAGTATCTTCCTTCTGCACTTCCAACACTTATAAAGCACTGCCAACATCTCAATGGGCGTTTAAGAGGATAACAGTTCTGATGGCCCTATCTCACAGGGCTATGACGACAAAAGATCCAGCTGGGTTCCTGATGACATACTCGAGTGCAAAGGAAAGCGTGCACCCAGATCCATACCTCCCTGTCAGCAGCCCTGAAACGAACGGCGAAGGTGCTGACTGTCGATAGAAGACTATGTACCGTGTGAAAGCGAGCGTTGATTGTAGTTGTATGCAATTTAATGTGAGACCCCTACAATTGCAATTACGAGCACCCATTGTCCAATTCCTCCTTAAACTCCCCGGGGTTGAACTGGATAGGGTGCTTCATACACTCACCTTCTTGTGCTTATGTGCAATTCGTCACTTTTCATACACAGAGAAAGCGATGTCAGTGACCTCCCCAAAGGCCTGTTGTATTGCTAGCTTGGTGCCAATTTTTGTAGATGAAGTCCTGCACAACAATTCACTAGCACAGGTATAGTCCTCGCATTCTCTGAAAGATTTATAGTATTTCGGATGGCGCTAAAGATTCATCGTGTAAATTCTGTGTTCTGGTGTTACTATTCGTATTGCAGTAGGAGCTGGGCTCAATGAGAGCAAAATTAGTGTGGCAAATTGGAGATTTGACTGTGTGTATCTTCTTGCTGTAATCATGGCTACGAACGTTGCTACTCTTACAGAAAGTTCTACAGTTATCTGAGCTTGACACAGTATACTCGCAAACGAGCCCCAAGCCTTTGGACTTTGAGTATCACAACGAATGTAATTTATGGTCTCGACTGACGCAAACCTTGGAGAAAAATGTGGATAGTTCACATCTTCTAGCAAATGTGCGCGGCCCGGAGGCGGCTTTCCTGGTTGATGACAAATCTGGCAGATACGTGTGCAATAATTTTGGGGGGGAAACCAAAGCTGTGCCTTGCTGTGCGGATGAGAATGGTGCCGCTGTGGCAGCTAATATTGATTTGCAAAGAGAATCAACGGTGAACTGGACAGGTACGTATCCAGCTATTTCAATCTACTCTTGGGTACATTTGTTATTGTATTGGAGTGTGTGGTACTCTCACCATGGAAACATCTCCCATGGTGAGTCTGCACATGTTTCTCGATTTGAGTGGCGTCTGACACGTGTCGCTATTCGAACGTGATTGAGATACAGTTTGGTCTCCAAATGATTGCTTGTTGTTTACTGAATATGAATCTACGATATTGGATCATGACTATTTGGTACTGCTAAGGTGTAGAGAGACATGTCTGTTTGTGTGCGCAATCGGTGGTTTGAAACATCAGTACTTCATCTTTAGTTTAGCCAACGATGTTGCCTCTCAATACGACAGGTGCATCTGGTAGCATATCAAAAGGGATGGATAGCGCCCATGTCACAAGTCAGTGCAGTACGTATCGAGTAGAGAGTTTGCATTTGCTCCTATCGCCTGTACTAGACCTTAGAGGGCAACCGACCGAAGCAGAAATCTTTACAACCGAGCACACAATACTCTCGGCTGGCGGTGATTTTGAGGAAATTAATAAAAAGCTCGGGATAACAGGTATGTGCTAGACATCGTCAAACATTAGTTAAGTTGTACAGTGCTTTGATAGACAGTTTCGTCATAGATTATTGCACAACAATACATTAATGCGTCCACAAGAATTCAGCAGTAGTCAGTGATGGCGTCATATCACACATAGTAAAAGCGATCTGGCAGAAGCACCCGGTCTTCAACTGTATTCATTATCCGTGTGTAAACTTCACAGTCGAACTTCAACCATTTTGAGGGTTTGGAATTTTCGCACTGGATTGAACCGATAGATTGAACTCTCTGTGGCAATCACAGGCACGGAGGTAGCCGTTAGACAGACCATTGGCGCATTTCTGGTGAAGAAGGGGTGGACTGCAGCATATAAGGACACCGTAACTCAACGACTGCGGATCGAGTGCGCAACTGCTATGGCATTGTTCAGGAGGCTGGGAGAACTCTCAGTGTTACAAATGCAGCAACTTTCACCTGCAAGGTGTGTGATGTTCTTGTAGCATTTCGAGCTCTAGTCAGAGCTGATTTATTTGTTTCGCTCGGTCATCTGCTAGTATATCATTCCTAAACTGTTCACGAAGAAGACTTATATGGAGCCTGACGGTGTCTACTAGCCTCTGTGAATCTGAGAGAGAATGCATATACGAGTCCTCTTTAAGTGAATAAGTATATTTTGTGGTGCACATCACATCGGGTGATGGATGTTTGTACATACACTGGAATCATGAAGTATAACTTCAGGTTTGTCGCCGTTGTAGTGATGTTCTGTGGCTCGACTCTCACTTATGAAGTCGACGATCGAAAGTACCTCTAATACCGTTGCGCCTTTTCAATCAGAAACATATCATATGCTGCAGAGGAAGCGCAGCTGGAATGGAATCCAATTCCGGCGCATAGCTTGGCTTTCCAATCTCGCACGCTCGACTGCACAAAGTGCCTGGAGAAACGGTAAGCATGCGACGAGCGCCATGTTGCGTTCTGATTTGTATTCAGTCTTTTTATTGATACTAAACATCTCAGATCATGCGAAGACGAGCATCGATATATAAATTGTCGCCACGAAGCGTCACGAAATCTTTCACAAATCGAAATGAAAGCTGAGTTGTGGCTTCAGCAAAAAAAACAAATAGTCCTGCGAAGTCTATTGATCCATATGGCAATAGATCATATATTCTAATAGAAAGAAAAACAAACTCAAACCGACTAGCTAGTGGTGCTAGTGTTATGTGTGTCCGAAGATGCGAACCACAACACAGAGTGGTATGGCAGCGATCTAGGCTCGTCACAAAAGTCATAGTCAAGTTAGTTTCTTTATATGACTTAAACACAATTTTCTACATCAAATTGAAACATCATGCTCGAAACAAATCTCACACCTCTCGTATATACTGTTGATTATTTTGTTCCTTAGACACGAAACATCATCCGAGCCCTCCGAGAGTGCTTCTTCTGACGGATCGGCACCCACAATGCCACCCTCGCTATTCAATACAGACAATCTACCGAATTCTTGGAGCTCTGTACTCAGAACAAACTCCAACTCCGAGCAGGAAGCTTCAGTAACATCAAAATGCGCCCAATCATGCACTAGTGTAAGCGCTTCGCCCTGTTCAGCTAGCCAGTATTCGCATGGGAGTGATCGAAATAGTGAATCAATCGTGATGGCCGAGGGGTCGACTGTGAAGGCAAAAACGCCTTTATGGCCTGGATGTCAGGAAAAGGCTCAGTCAACTGCTCGGACGGCATCGAAGTCCAAAACCGGTAGTGTTAGACCAGGAGAAGCCAGAATAGTACGCACGCCATCTCCAAATCACGCAGCTACAGAGCAACTTATTGTAAACAAGGCAGCTAGGGTGGCATTTTCGAGGATGCATACCCACCAAGACTCTAGTGGAGAGGAGTGGGATGACCTGCCAGATAGCGGGACTCTGGGGACCATGGCTGTGCCTTCACTCTTTGGCAACAAGCGTCGACGTGTGCTCACGGATGTATTTGAGGATGGTGTAGTGCGTTCACGTACACAAAATAGTCCAGCGAGTGGCAAGCGCTTTGGCACTGCAGTTGAGAGAAGGCTCGAGGAGAACTCAGTAAGTGATGTGAAAGCTATTGAAACTAGTGTGCTAGAGCACGGTAGTTCCAGATTGGCCTGTGGTGAATCGGCTAGTAGAAATTCGAGATCGCGAGCGCCATTAGAAGCTGATATTTCATCGCAAACAACAGTAGTTGACCTATGCTACCAAGATGGGGATGGACTGATTTGGAACGGAAACGAGTCTGGTACGAGTAGCTGTACGACCGTAGCCAGTGGCAACAATCAGCAGAACGTGTGCAGTTCCATATCATCGCCCCATAGCGTATGTGTAGTCGAGTACAACCCTGAGTCACCGGACGCACTGTCGCATGCAGCATGTCAAGGGCATAGCAGGGGAGGTTCAAAGCGGGAGGTGAGAGGGAGGAAACCTATTGAGGGGATGATAGGTGGTGAGAGCGGCGATGTGTGCAGAACTGAAGGAAGTGACGATGCACAGGCCGTGTCGGACAATTCATCGGAAGGCGGTCAAAGCAGATATAGCAACGTGGGTGTTGTTGGCAAGGCCCATACGAAGTCTCTCACGCTTGAAAGAATTGACAGTCGTCAACACACCAAGCCAAAAGAAATCTATACCGGGCCTGCACAGACCATGTCGAGCAAGCCTCGATGCCCCACACAACCCTCGAGAAGTTCCACGGCATTGCCAACGGCTATGAATCACTGCGACTCGGGTGTGCACTCCTTCCACAATACAATCGATGACTCAGCGAAAGATCTGTCTTTGCAGAATATCACAGATCAGCTTCCACCCCAACGCGATTGCTCAGATAAAGGTAAACTACTATCCCGCTACCATGATGACGATGAGCGACCGCTACCACACACAGGTAGCAGTCTGCCAACATCCCAGCGCACTAGGAATCGGCAGGTTGTACATGGTGATAGGGCACACACATCCCTTCGCACTCGTAGTCAACCCGCAGCACCTCGATATGGGCTGACTGGGAGCGATGACGCGCTGAAGGCATCCATGGCTGAGATACTCGGTGAAACCTCATCGAAAGAATACATCGCAGCTAACAGTCGCCAGAAAAGATCGATACAGGGCGCTACCGGATTTCAATCCCATGAAATCACTCGGAGTGACAGAGAGCAACAGGCGTCGACAGCGACCATACTGGGCGACTCACATGTATATTGTAGCACCCAAGACAAGCCACTGACAAGATCTATAGCAGAAATCTCGGCAATGAAGCCATCGCAACCAACAACTACCGCAACGATGGTGCATGGGGCACCAGTTTCACCCGCAGCCATCCGAGCGGCACCATTTAATAGGCCAACACAACGCTCGAAAGCTGTAGGTGGTACGCAAGATACTGTATTGAGCTATATTTTTTGGTCGAATGTGAGGCCGGTTCTTGCTACCAAAACCTGTTGATGATATTTCTGTGCGTGTTCGGGTGATGAGTATATGCTCTACGTGCATTAACCAACAGAATAGACATCGTATGTGGCTTGCTGAGTCGAATAGGGGGATAGTTTCTACTTCGCAACCTCATTCAGATCGAAAGTCTGGCATTTATTTAGTACTACAACCACGCTTACGTCTCTAAATAGCTAATGCAAAATATATTTTCAAAGTTTGATTTCATTCTTGTGACCTGATTTATTTTCCCAGATACAGTTGTAAATAGTGACACTACGAGCGTATTGTTTGAAGCTACTAAGCAGCGCAGTAAAGGTCTGGGAATGGGAAAGGGAATGGTGGGCGGCAAGAAATCAGGAAAAGAATCGCAGATGTCAGAGATTGACACGTTCATGATGCTAAGAGGACAGCCTCCAGGTTTGGCTGAGATCATTTTAATTACACTTTATATTGTGGTTGTCTATTCTTATTGTGTTCTAGTCGAGACTTCAATGACCGAGTTGTGCAACCTCTGGCGTGTGTAAAAACCCTTCTATCTGCTATGAAAAAGGGCGCATTTAGATTCGTACTTTTCTTGGAATTCAAGTCAAGTGTTTTTCAGCGCTACCCAAGCAGTGTTTACCGTAGCATCAACTTTGAGATCCTGTAGTACATCCCTGATTGAATTTGAACGAAGTTGACTTGATCCAAGCAAATGAGGCCATATCAGGGACGACTATCAGGGAGCTTAAAGTTGCAGCATACTTGGCTATTCATGTACCTTTCCATATCGACTTTTGCTCATATACAGCGCTTGTGGGTGAGCGAAGTACACTCTACCCCAATAGTAAGGTGAGTCTATTATATTAGCAAGTGGGTATTTAGCGATGTGTATTTACTCGGAGACAGTGCTGAGGATATAATCTTGGGCCAATCCATGTAATCAACTTTGAGTATTCATTCAGCTAGCGAAGTGATTTGAGAATTTAAACAAAATATCGCCGTGTCCAAGATTCTTGATACTAAGTACAAGATATTTCATCACGAAACAAGTTGAGTATATATGTTTTTGGTATATGTAGATCACGGAAATTTTCTCTCTTTGTTAGCAAGGCCTGTCTGCACATACTCTATTCGGCCCTACGTGCTTTGAGGGTGCGATGAAAAATAGCTTCGTCTCCGACGATCAAAGATATGCATCATGATGATTCACTGTATACGTTCATTTGTTTTCACTCGCGAACGATGTGCTTAAATCAAACGATGTGTTTAAATCAAACGATGTGTTTAAATCAAACGATGTGTTTAAATCAAACGATGTGTTCAAATCAAACGATGTGTTTAAATCAAACGATGTGTTTAAATCAAACGATGTGTTTAAATCAAACGATGTGTTTAAATCAAACGATGTGTTTAAATCATTTCCCTGTACGGCTGTATGCTGACAAAACATGAAGAACCCAGCTGGAAGGCTACAATCTTACTTAGCTAGGGTGGTATATTGCACATTCATGTATCATCTGCTCCCTCATGACTTTTAAATGTTCAAAAATCATTCACCCAGAGCACAATTTTTTCTTGTCTGCATGCATGCCCTTGTAAAATTGTCCATGGTACACGGACTGTGTAAGTTATCATCGCACTCGTTGTCTTGTACATATACTCCAGTAGCAAAAAATTGTGAATGTAGTGTACAATTTTTGCTCTGCGTTATATTTACACACTTGCATGTTTTATGCATGTATGATACAATGGTTGCATTTGCAACACACGAAGCGCCTGCGCAGGTATACGATATCGATAAATCTATCTCTCAAATAGGTTTTGTGCAATGGCTGTGATTGCATATGGTGTTGCTACAGTCTTGGGGTTCCCGCTAATCATGATCAATTCCATCAAAATAAAACCGGTATTACTAGAGGATACAAAAGCGACGTGAAGATCCAGTCAATAGTTCTGCTAGTTTCAACGGCCCTGTGCAAATTCCGTGTAAGCTCCCTGGTATGTGCTTCATGTACTTTGTCCTGAGTACATATGCGAGCGCCTTCTTCTGTCAGTACTAGATGTTTTCTTAAATCTGTTGTATTTGTTGGTTCATCGCTAATCCTAGAATGTGTTCATCTGGCTATGTTGTATATTGTGCATTCCGTACCTGCTACCTTTGGCTTGTAGAGTAGCCATATTTGCGCTTGTACTCTAGCTATGAGCATCTGTTGATGTCGATTGTTAGAAAAGTTGTCTTTCTTTGCACACTCTAGTACCAGGAAGCTCACATTTGATGCATTCGCTCACAATATAATCCTGGAATTATGTACTCACATAATGCATCGGCTAAATTTCTTGCTTCCTATGCATGTTTACTGTTGGTCATTCATTTAGAAACCACATTCCACTAATATCTCTGTTGCCTACAGCCAACCTCCTGGTCATTCTCAAGTGGATTTCATCGGAAGCCCATCCAGCCCTTATCGTTTTGATGGTAAATCTGTTGTCATGTTGCTACTTTTAAGCAGGGCACTCGGCTGAAGGATGTTGTGCACATGTGTTTTGCTCTTTGTGTAGATATTGTTGCCAAGGACGATGTAAAGTACAATGTGCTACTCGTTTTTGCCACATAAATTTTCACAAGATCATGTATAGTCTCTGTATTATTGTATTCTCTGATTGATATTCTATGACTGATAAGTACACGGCAATATTCATCCGTGTTAAAAATACACTCAATATGGACAAGAAAAACTAAAATGAGACTTAAGTGATACTACTGTAAGTGAATCAGGAGAGCCAGAAGACTGATCATGCACTCCACTCTGAAGGCGCAGATAGGCAATGCGATGTTATACTAATTGGGATTCTTTACAACACTCTTTAGAACCACTCTTTATAACACAACTCACCACAAAACAAACGTCGCATATGTAAACCTCTCGGAATCACATCGCGTAACAAGCACCAGAAGCAAACTCGATGTTCCCAACCACCCCACACATACAACCTCCTCAAACAAACCACGTGTAGGCACAAACCACACTTCACTACGTATAACTAATCGCACACAGTCAAAAGACGCATCCACTGTTTAAACATCACAGCCAGAGACTTCATATGATGGCATATCAATTCTAAATGCACTTAACACTCAGCATGTCCACAGTGTGAAAGAACACGCCTCACTGACATGAGGTATCAGATACGTAACATGATGCGTAAGCGAGCCAAAAAGCGGAAACAAAAAATGTGTTTTTCGATTGTACCTTTGCTGGGTGTGTAACATATACTTACCATTGCACAGCATGTTTTTCGTCTTACGCCGCTTCATTTATTGCAAACTCACACTGTGAAACTAAGAGACTAACTGACACCTATATGTTTGTGTTGCGTTCATCCTTGTGATCTACAATATCCTAAACTTATACGCCCCACAGCGACATGGTGTGGTATCTCCGGTAGTGGCATTTCTTACCCTCAATTCTACTCTCCTGGGGGAGATTTATCGTGCGCTCGACACTTCTGAGGTGTATAAAGCAATTTCAAGTAAGTCTAAGCCATATGTAACACATATTCTCTTTGTATGTTTATTCGTCGTTTGAATATCATTTCTTTCTGGATATGTTGAGTAGTTCCTTCTTCGTAGTAAGGTTCACAACATTTGCGCTGCATAATCCGGGCATCGCATGCATGTGTGTCTGGCTTATTTGGTGGTACAGTTTCCAATACGGCAGGTGATACTCCAGAATAGTCTTGTGTGTCATATAGTTGTCATTGTCTACAGCTTACCTTTCTAATTTTAGTCATAGTTCACCTGACCAATCTCATCAGTTCAGGTCGTAGTGCAGACCGTCTCTCATCGTCAAATTTGTCGGATGATACCTTCCCACATACTGTAGATTACAGACAACAGTCCACACTGCGATTTAGTCTGTATCTGGTTTGGCAGTACGCGATAGTGGCCGATGCGATCATGCGCCAGTCCGTACCGTCTGCTCTGGGTATGTTCTATGTGTGGAGTCTACAACTATAAGTAAAGATAAATGTACGATCATAATCCTGCAATTAATATTGCTAAATAATGATGTAGTCCTACCTGACCCCATGTATCCCCGTGCCCAATGCAACTAGAAAAATCAGTGATCAAGCTGCTTGTGCGGTCCCCGTGGTCTGACTACTCTGTGAGTATATGTGGACCAAATTGAGTTTGCGTACACTTAAATGGGATTCAAGATGGAAATTAGGGTTTTGACTAATTTTGGCTGTACCGCATTTCAGAACGCCATGGGCGGCCAAGGTTGCCCGCATCTCGACCTCCACATTGTCTGTCCTGCAACACATTTCTCTATTACCATTCCAAAAGTGAGTTTTTTTCTCCGAACACCTTACAGAGAAAGCGAAACGGATTGTTGTAGAAAGTTTGGATGAACCACTACAAGGTGAGTACTACTGCCGTTTAACACGAGTTTGGAAGGCTCTTAGTCCGCTCTGCTATAATTGTAATTTGTGTTCTGATGCCAATATTCTCACGAATAGCGCACAGCACACGTAGAGGGAATGTGTGACGCCCTCGGATTATTGTTTTGTAAAACAATACCTTGAAGATCAGGTATCATTGATCATATGCAAACCTTCTTGCTTGTGTTTCCATACATTTAATTTCTCAATTTAAATAGTCAATAGACGTCTTCATGTTTAAATTACGTGCATCTATCAGCGGGAGTACACCATCTAATCTTGTCCCTTGAGAACTTGTCCGCCGCCGACTCCACACATCCCAACGTGAAGGCTCTGATGGCCTTTCTACTTTCGCTGGATCGTTCCTGGGTACAGTACTGTTGTTATGTCTCACAATCGCTGTGCATACTTCTCGCTTCGCAGTCATAGAATAAATAAAGAGTATTTTCAAAAAAGACTGGTCGATATTCCTCCACAATGTCCAAATACAATGTTGGTTGCATTGTACTTCTACAGATTAATTTGGCAGAATAGTCTAGACTCGAACCCTGGTATATACCTTGTTCTATATATACCAAGTGCATAAATCAATTATAATCTTCAAATCTTTGCAGGTGCTTGTGATCATCGATGACGAGATAACCACTGCGAATCAGATACTAACTGTTTTGCAGGCTTTGGGAGAACCCTCGACAGCAGCTATGTGTTACACGCCTGTTAGGTGTGTCTGGACCAAATTCTACTATCAATAATGGGCTATCAGTACAATATATGCTTATTTATTACAATATATATATAAATATATATATATTC